GGGAATTTCTCTTTGATTAAAAATAAAAAAAATATTTTTCATGTGAGCCGATTAGTTTTTATTTTACATCTCTTCAAATTATGTCACTATTTCAATGACAGGCAGTAATTTTTCGTATTTTTGAAGTTGACAATTTTATGGTTATATTCATAAAACTTGTTATACTCAGAGTTCTGCTTGTGTACACATAATCAAAATAGTCCCCATGTTAAAGAAAAAAAGGACACTCATCAATTTGGTGAGTGAACAATAAAGTTTGAAGAAATTTTTGTGAAAAACATCCAAGTTAAAAACTTTATTAAAAATTTTAACTGGAATAATAAAATAAAAAATAAACTGAGTATATTTTTAGTTCTTTAAACTATAATCATTCTCATTTGTAAATGAAAAATTAAAATAGAACTTTTAATGGCCATTTATAAAAAGATGTCTCAAAAGATTCACTAAAAAATGAGGATACATGATGAAAAAACTGCCCAAAACTTAAGTTTTATTATCAAAATCTTTATTATTAAATGGAAAGGATTTTTTGATTAAGTCATTTTTAAATCCTGTTTAGAATGTTTGAAATTTTGGTTAAAAATTGTTTTCTTGTGTCAACAGGTGACCATAAATTTGTATGGGAAATTTAAACATCTTTTTACAGTGAAAAACATCAATTTGGAAATTCTTGCAAAAATCATAATTGTTGGATTTTAATGAAACTTTCAGAACTAATTCATAAATGAATTAAAGTTAGAAAATGTTTTTTTTTGGAATGTGTTAATCACACCACCAACTTATTTAATTTTTTAAATTTTGAGAAATTCATTTTGGCAGCACTTAATGTTTATATTATTTATAAGCACAAAAGTTCTTGAAGAATTGAAATCATTAATTTTTTTTTCTTTGTAAAACAAAACCCCAGTTACAGAAAATCTGTTCTGAATTGTTAAATAAAAAATGCAATAAAACCAAGACATTATTTAATATTGAGTTATATATTATAGACACTATTGTCTTAAGAAAAATTTTTTTTGATAAATAATGAATTTTTACAAGAATTTTCATTTTTGTTTTAATTATGATTATAATAATTTATAAAGTTTTCAATTATTAAAAATTCTGTATTGTTCTGTAGCATTTAGATGATATTGTTAAACTATATTTACTAATCATAAATGGAAGTTTACAAAAATTCAGCAAACCCAGCAGGATTTAATTTTTTTGTATGTGTAGAAACAAGATGATTTTTGTAAATACAAGTGTCCATACACAACATTATCAGAAAATAAGAGCAATAACTATAGTAAATTGTTAATTTTCTAACATTTCCACAAGTGTCATTGTAAGTAAGACTATAAAGCTAAAATACCTAAAATTCAATGAAATATTAGATTACTTAAAATATTTTCCTAAATTTTTAAGATTACCTGGTAGTTAAAAAACACCCACCTGTATTAAAAAATGCTTTTCTGCAATATTTTAAACTAAAAGTAACATTTGTTTCAAATCAGATTAATAGTTTTAAATCAGCTAATCTTTCTCAAAAAATGTTTCAGAAAATTATTTTATTTTTGATAGATTTTTTAATAAACAGTTGTGTTGACAGATTTGTAAATATGGATGATTTTAGCCATTTTTAATGATTTAAAAAAAATTCAAATCAATTTAAATTCGTTTTGAAATACAGCAAAGTATTTTGCTTATTGAAAATATTAAATTTAATCTATCAGCTTGAAATTAAAACTAAACTAAAATAAAATCTTCAAGAATTTTTCATTTTTACAAATCCATTTTAAACCTTAGGTATCACTTCTTTGGAGGTACCTGCATTATCTTTCTCCTTCAAGACTACCTATCATGACATTACATTTATAACGATGTTTTTCAAACTTGTCTGAAACCTGAATCTTCAGTTACACACTGTTAAAACTGGGTTTTACTTTTTTTGTCCAATAGCACATAAGACAAAAACTTTCTACGGTCTGATGAACTTTCAATGGCAATAATTTTATTGTTAATTAAGCTACCAAATTAAATTTGGTAACACTCTTTCTTTCTTTAGTCTTTGCTTTGTCAAGATCTACATGCCTGTAGTGTAGTGTATTTAAAAATTGAAAAGAAAATTTGAGTAACTTTTACAGAAAGTAAAATAAAATTATGTACCAAACATTTTCTAGAACAAGTTCGCCACTAAGATTAGCTATCGGAATCTTTTCCTCAATGAATCTTGCAAATTTTGCCTTGTATAAAAAAGACATTAAGGATTAAGCAAACATGGACAATACACAAATATTGTGCAGATAGTACTGTACACAGATCAATCATGTAAATATCGACAATATTTTTAAACAATTTCCTTATGGAAACAAAAACAAATTAAATTTCTCAATGAAGAATGGTTAAAAATAAATCTAATTAGGTAACGAAATACAATAAACAAAAAATATTTTGATATTTAATTAAATATTTATAAATGCCTTTTTGTTACTATACCAAACTAACAGGATTAAATATGGTCATTTAAACAATTAATAATTGATCAATAACAAACATCACGATCACAAAAAAATGTTATCACAAAGACATCAGACCTAAAAAAAAAAAAACATTAAAAAAATTACTATGACTATTCATTATTGAAATTAACAGAAATATTCACTTTTTCTTGATAGGTTAATGATGAAATTGAAAGGTTACACAAGTTTATTTGTATTGCTATTAAATATAGAATTTGTTAACTGACCATATTTGTTCAGACAAAAACACACTACCAACAAAGTACTTTTCAGATAGAAACCTGTAAGTGGCTATGAAAGGTAAACAATCAATATTCAATAAAAATAAGAACTAAAAAGATTTAAAAATAAAATGTTTCTCGTGAGGTTAGGATTTTGTTATTTTTTGTAAACAAATTGATGGATAAAATTTTAAAAAATTGAAACCTAAAGAAAAGCAAGATTCATTTTTAAAGCAAAACAAATGTTCCTTTCATAAAATTATAGGGGAAAAACAAAGATCAGGTGAATTACATTTTTCTTTGAAGATCAAGTCAATCAAAAAAAAAAAAAAAAAAAGCCTGAATGTTTGTTTCATATACGGATTATTAAATAGATAAAATTACATGTATGTGAAAACGAAAGACGAGAAATTTAATAAAGATTTAAGTGTGTGACTGTTGAAGATAAATTTACTATTAAAAAATAAAATGGAATTATCAACGATGTTTACAAATTCAATTTCGTTTATGTAGTAGTGAAACTGTGAATGACAACGACCACCATTCATTCATTCATGTAGCAGGAGCAGTCACAGTAGTAGTAGTAGTAGTAGAGAGTATCAAGCTGTTTCTCTTGAACTGATCGTCGTCTTTTATCATTTTTTATGTATCATGTGCTTTTTTTATCGACAGTATAGGAAAGTTTCTACTTAAGAATTGCTTCAGTTATATTAATCTACAAGATAGTAGATATTTATTAAGTGTAACACATTCAGAAATATACAGGGAATGTCAGTACTACAAGTTCAATAGTCTGCTGATTAAATAACCATATCTTCGTTTGGTTGATGTCTCTAAATTTACAAAAACTGAAAATGACGATTTGTCAGATTTCCGTTAACATGTGTTTAGATATTTTTGTTTATGAGACATCAAAACAATGTCGAATGTTATATGTAAAAGTCCTAAAATTAAAATAAAATCCAATTTAGGGAATTTTCATAATGATTTAGAAACTTAGAACTAGTACAATCATGTTTTTACACGAATGCCAAAAAGATGAGACACGACTACATTTACTATTTTTCGTCAGGGTTTCTCAAATTTTGATACCCGGCTAGAGAAAGATGGCAAAAAAATGAATTTACAATGGAGAATAATCATAATAATCGCCATCATCCTTTTTTTACATACATCCTCACCAACTCTTTTCATCTACACTTGGGGACTGGGTCAAAAAAAGAAAACAAGAGACAGACATTTTTAGAAGATAAAATAAGTGGAAATAGGAGTGGACAAGACACGTTCCATTTTGCTCATTTCAAATTTGTAATGCTTCTATGTACTATTTAAAAAATGAAATCGTCACGTCTCTTAATAACGTGAGTTTTAATTTTATGCATCCAAGTTAATTAATACAAGAATTTAAAAAACAATTAAATCAAGAAAGCACATGTAGCGGTTCGAATTGTTCGTTAAATCCAATGATAACCATTAATTTCATAAAATTCTTTCGTTCATTCATCATTCACAAATATCCAAGTTATAGGTTGTGTTTTTTAAATGCCATAAAAAAATGAAAGATTTTCAAAATATATATATTATATATCCGCTTTTATATTGCACAGAGGACATTCAAGATATTTTTAATAACGCACAATATCGTGATTTTATTTTACAAGAAAATATGATAACGAAATGCAAATGAAGTTAAAAGAAAAAATTGTTTTTATGCATTTTTAATAACTTATGGAAAAAAGCATAAAAAGCTAAATGAAGAAGAGAAGAGGGTTGTTTTTTGTTTTATTGTCTTAATTATTAAGTTCCAATAATTCATCACTATTGATAATATCAAAATAGATGCTCAAATACAGGACAGAGGTTAGCAGATTATTAAAAGAGAAAAGCAAATTTAAGATAGGACTGTTTTTAGTGTACTGTTCTGTAAGTAAGAAGAACAATAAAGAAAGGGGTTAGACTAGAGAAGTAATAATTATAACGATATTGAAAAAACGACAACTACATACTGTATAACTAACAGGCAAATAGTATTATTAAAATATATTTTGTGTAAATTTACTTTAATATTTGTGTTAATGTTAGGAAGTATGCGTGAATTGTTAAAATCGTTTGTTGTTCTCTGGCTGCTTGTTTGCCGCCATGATAATCTATAGTAAGATGGCGACGACGCGACCGCCGCCGCCACCACCTTTTATTGGAATTGCGCGGCGTATGCACCCCCCGTTATCCCCTCGTCAGAGCTCCGGGGCACAAAAATACCATTTTATACACCTCTTACCTCATTTTCAGCGTTCTCTGTTGTTTCTTTCCCACTTGTTTTGGTACTACTTGTCGTCTTGGCCGGTGTCTGCTAGATAGAGAGTTTACGAATTAACATAAAAATACTACATATTATAAATTAAACAAAAAATATCAATTAATAATAAAACAGATCTAACAGAAAAAAAACAGGCAATTGTTTTATATTAAAAGAAAGAAAAATAAAACAGTTAAAGTAGCAATAATAAAACAAAAAGATCCTGTATTCAATTCAAACATTTGCCAGGGAAAATTGCATAATAAATTGGATAATAAAAGTGAAACCATATCTTTGGTTTCTCTCAAGAGAGGAAATAGTTACAATCAGAAATTCACTATGTACTTTCACAACATAATAACTACTTTATTGCTATATTTACATAGAAATCAGCAATACTAACCACCATGCAGCATAATCAATGCTATCTACTAAATTTTTTAGTCTACGCAAAAGAAAAAAGTATGCTATCTTTTTCCAGATGATTATAGCAAAACATTTCCAAATGGACTACGTATACAATTTCATGTTCAAACATTTCTAGTCTAAATTATTTAAAAGGATCGTGAACTATTGTAATTTTCTTATTTCCTAAGGCCCTCAACACATACATTTTCTTTTTCTTCTTTTTTTATTTAAAAGATGAAAATATTTTGTTAATTATTAATGGGCTGAGAAATGATAATCAATCAATTTGTCATATTTTAAGAAACAAATAAATCTGTAATAATAATAATAGCGATATAAAAAAAACCAATGTTTTTTTTTATATCGCTATTAATTAAAATTAAATGATTTAAGATTTTCACTTTTTTTATTGAATGCTATGAATTTTTAATTCTAAAAAGAATAGGAAGTCAACTAATAAATAAACACTTACTAGTTGATGTATTTTTAATTCTTAATGTCAATAGCAATTGAATAAATGGTGCAAAAATAATTAAACTGGATACATGTGTTTGTAGAGTTGATCAATCAATGGTAGTAACAATGATTAGTAATGTGGACTCTAGGGGAAAAAAACGGTTAGAATGCAAAAAATAAGAACTTATTTGATTCCCCCACTCTTAACAATCGAAGTAGAATTGATGGAAAGCAAAACCATTCAATTTTACTTAGTGTTAGTTAGTCTTTCTAGAATAGAACTAAAAAGATTAAAGAAGACAGTTGAGATGTCGTTGACGTTGATTCAAGTAATAAATAATATAATCAGATTGTCATTGTTTGTAGATAACGCCTCAGTAAATATAATTTTTGCTCCAAGAGTCGGGTTTCTAAGTTTATAAGAGAATCCATTCCACATCTATTCATGATTTAAATTATAGTTTTAGAGTTTATAAAAGAAAAATATAAAATCTGTTTTTTTTTGGGGGGGGGGAGAGGGTTGCTCACACATTTTTTGCGAAAAGTAAAACTAAAAGCGATCGTTATTAGGATAATTTCGTGTTGAATTGTCTGTAGATATTTGATGTTTTGTCTCCAAACAGGAAACAAAAAGTATGCACAATTGTTAAAAAAAAAAAAAAAAAAAAAAAAAAGTTTTAAACACAATGAATAGATTTGAAAGAAGTGTATCTTCGGATATGAGTGTAACAAATTAAATATGGATTTTACCATGCTGAATTATTGGAGAGAATTTTGCAGATAAAATGTAAATGCCATAGACAAGATTTCACATCACAGTTCGTGCATGATGATGTTCAATCTAATAGTTTTTAAATCAGGAATAACACAACATCAAAACTTGAAGAGATGATATTTATAATTATAGACTAAAACCGTAAATGATTAAGTAAAAACGACGTATGTAAGTGGTAAGTAAATGTATTGAACAGCAAAAGCGAAGATCTTCTTGCCGATGCTGCTTCTTCTTCTTCTTCTTCCTAGTTTATCCGATGATGGTCCGCGACGAAAGTAGCAGTACAAACGAAGAAATGACAAAATAATAATAATAATAATAATCACAATGATTATAATAATAATAAAATAAAATAGTAGTAATGATGCGCCAACCAGATCACATCAATGATGATAGTACAATATTTAACAAATACAGATATATAACCAAATAAAGTCTCAAAAACAAAAATCATAAAAGTAAGAAATAGAAAACTAACCTTTTCTTTTTTAGTTTTGTTAGGCATGTTAGCCAATTCGAGTTATTGCTGGTCTAGAGAAAGTGAATTGTGAATGAATAAAATGTGTTCGTAGTAGTTAAGTGTAGAGAACTAGCCAGTGGATATTTCCGCTTCCGTGGTGATATTATTAAATGGGAAAAAAATGTTTCTATAGATTTTTAATTATAATTTACTTATTTGTTTGTTGTGTTCTGTTGCGAAGATTTGGTTGCTAAATAAATACCGGTGGACAGTAGAAGCGAAGGGAGGGGGGAATAAAAGATCCTTTTTTCTTCCTTTCTTTGGTTTGTTTGTTTCTTCTTTTTTTTTAACAGGGGGTTCCGAGATGAAAGTAGGTAATATATATATATATGTATATGTATGTATATATAGATAAATATATATATATATATATATATATATATACATATATATATATATATATCCGTGTCTTATTCGTGCACCCTCTACTGTGTGTATTTCAGTGTTGGAAGGCGGCAGCAACACTAAAATAATATTTAGCAAGAAAGGGTATAGAAAAGGAGAGGAGCACTATGTGAATCTATACAGTTAAACTAGCCTCATGATTGGCTGTTTACGTCACATGATCTGAGTGATACGTCACAAGGTTTGTGCGTAGACGTCACGTGAAATATGTCACTTACGCAGATAAATGCTGTCATTGAACCGTCATAGTTGGTATGATTGTCACAGTAACGCCTATTTCCAATTCAGCAATTTGTCCGTTTTTGTTTTTACTACTATTTATATTTCATTAATCAAGCTATCTTGGATTATATATCCTTATTAAATATTTCTCATGAATTTGTTTTATTGTTTGTTATTATTTTGATATTAATTCTAGGCCGCTTTTTCCCTATTTAAGTAAAGTAACAGAACGAATCAGCCGCTTCTGAAGAATAAGTTGTTTAGTATTTTTGTTTATTGCTAGTCTCGAATAAATAATCGCCTTATATTATAAATTATTCCAATTTGTATTTCACAAAGTATTCTTAAATTTAAACTTTGATTGCTTATATGACAATTGCCTCATTAATCACGACTAAAGTGAATGATTTAAAAACCAAACAAAATTAAAATAAAAAGCATAGACATTTAAAATTAGCTAATTAATTCCTAGCAATAATTAAGAATCAAATGATAAAAAACACAGGTGAATCTTTGCAATTAGTATTTAACAAGGTATACCAAACTGAAATTTTATTTTCAAAATATCTAAAAAAAAAAAAAGACCTTTACTACAGGTAGTGATCTTGACATCCATAAAAAATGGTACCAAATTTATTTTTTAGCTCAATGACTATTTCATAAAAACTTCATCTCCTCGGCTATTGGAAAAACCAAATTTAACTGTATAATTACAATCATGATAAATGTAATGTCATATAGGTAGTCTTGAAGTAAAAGAAACATAATGCTAATGAAATTAATAATTCTTAGATCAGACCAGCTTAAATTTGGGGAAAATTTTCTCAAAAACAAACTTGTAAAATGACAAAATAGCAAATTTTACTGGTCATATAAGTTTCATTTCAACAGTTAATGCCTTGCAATTTTTTCCTAAACTTCTTAGCACAAATGAAACCAATTTTTTTCTGTATTACACCAATAGAAAACGACATAAAAACAGCCAGAAGCACAATTTTGCAGTAACGCAAAAACATAAAAAATGTTCCATACTGAACTTACCATAAAGAGTATCCATTGGAGGAACATGCCTGAAACTACTAATTTTGGGAATATTCAACAACAGTTCTTTTCACCTTTTGTAATATATGTATTTTATTTTGTGAAATTATGTCATTTTCAACTCATCAAAAACAGAACTACAAACCCTAGAAATCTGTTTTAAAAAAGGAAAATAAATACTTTATAATAGTGCTTTAAACTTCCCCAGTTTTAAACTGATAAAAAATACTTTCTAGACATTGTGAATGGTTCTCCCTAACTAAACCTTTGATATGGCTAATACTTTTGGAACACTTCATATCCAGCCATCACTTGAAAATGGCAGGGTGCACTTCAAAGTGATTGTAGTGATTAGTAAGATTTCTTCACTAGATCAATTATGACCGAGTAGTGAGTTTGAGCTTGACTTTCAGCCTTGTGCCACATCTAAGCTATGCTTAGAAAATCACCATCACTTGAAAGACCCATGAGAAGACAAATGTAAATTCCATTTGTGCAATATCATCTGACAAAGACCATCAGAAATAATCATTTCTGCACTTTGTTGGAGCTAAAAACTTTATCACAGCACTGAATGGAGATGCAGTATCAACAACTTGGCTAATATAAAAGATTCATAATATACTGCAACACATTGGCCTTGATACTTTAACTGAAGGTCATCTGAGGTGGTTCTTCTTCATCACAAATGCTAGAGTTGTTTAAATAATCAGAATAACTGAGTGTCTTTTCTTCATCAAGTACCTTACAAGCCAGCTGCTAATGGCCTGCTGGCAGGCTGCCGATGGTAACACCAGCAGTCCTCTGGTAGCAACCACCAGTGGGCCTCTACCTGTCCACCAGTGGTAACATTGCCAAGAGGAACACTCCGGCAAGCCACCAGCTAGTGGCATGCCACCCAGTAACAGATTGATGGCTTGTTTGTAGGGAGTTACAAAGAGTAGCTTCCGGGTCAAGATTTACTTCCACTGATGTTGATCTTGATACCTAAGAGAATCATCAGATATCTAAGTTGATCAAGTCAGTGCTTCCAAACCACTGCTTGTTGTACATCTTTAATAAATTTCACAGGACCACCATGCTTGATGACTTGAGTCAATGATTCTGTTTTCTCAGCAGCTGCTTGACACTCTTTTTCCTTCTTTTGTCTCTCATTATTAACAATCTTTTTCTATATATGAAGTTTCAGAAGTAGATTTTGTTGCTTGTGTCAGAGATGATTTACATGCTTTCTTGAAATGCCAAGAACTGATTGCCACTAGGTTGCTAATTTTGCTTCCAAGTTGTAGCCTGGTTGCACTTGAGCATGTTTGGGGTTAATTGATAATGAAATGTTGCATGTTGTCTTTTTCCTTTTTTATTTTGGTCAGTTCCCCCCTAACTTTCAAATAGAGTTAAAACATTTCAATTTTGAGGCTGTTTAAGAAAATCTTTTACACTTGCATAAAAGAAAAATCCCTGAAGGTGATACTTGAGTAAAAAAATATATATATATTAATTTCAACCATGAACATAACAAAGTTCGTCATGAACCTTACCCAAAAAAAACTTAAAACTTTCTCTGAGAGTAGGTACCTGTATTTAAAATATTTTCTTTCACATTTGGCACAAAAAATCTATTTTAAAAAAAAAATGCACTTTTAATTTTTCATTGCAATTGTGAAATTTTTTAAAATTTATTTTTATTTGTCGTCAAGAATTAAAAATTAAAAAGTTACAATTTGAATTCAAACCTTCATGAAAATAAAATCGTTTTCTTTTTTTTTTCTTTTTACAAATCTTTCAAATAAAAATTTAACTCCAGGGAAGAGATATTTTTTAATTATTCAAAAAATGTATTTTATTTTCTTCAGTTTGCAGCAATAAATTAAAGAACTAATATATATATATATATATATATATATATATATGTGTGAAAAGTGTGTGTATATAAATATAAATAAATAAATATATATATATATAATTATTTATATATTATATGCGCAGTACTTATTAGAAAACACTCAATATCAGAGATAGCTAACATATTTGGTTGGATTGATGGGAGTTTGTGACAATTTTAAAAAATTAATCAGTTTGTCTGATGATCACAAAAGCGTGAAACCCAGGGTCACAAACTCACATCAATCCAACCAAATATATATATATATATATATATATATATATATATGTAGCCAGTTTTTATTTTATTATTTCAGTTAATTTTCATTAAAATTTGACTGGATAGGACAAAGAAAAATAAAAAATTGTTTTAATTTTTTTTTTTTGTTAAAACTGTCAGGTGGAATTTTTTTTAAATAAAGATGCTTTACAGTTTTAAAATGCATCATTAAAGAAAATATAAGAAAAAGATTTTTATTCATTGATAAAACAAGAATGATTTTTAAAAAAATGAGATTCATTCATTTATTCAGCAATATAAATTTCAATGCCTTTAATTTAGACCCGACTCTTTTGCACAAAATGAACACATTGTATTCTTTGATTTGCATGCACCTCAAGTTGTTTGAGCACAGGGATGATGATATAAAACAATTGATTATTAAAGTAAAGACAAGACATTAAAAGCAGGTGTCTGTAAATTTAATCTTTATTTTTTAAGTGTTAAGTTAATTTCTCTGGTATTTTATAAGGTTTTCAACTTAGAAATTTTTGTAAAAGACAACTTCAAACTTTGTGGTTCATTGACTCTTTTGCTTTTGACTTTTGATATGGGAAAAAAATAGTTTTACAACTTTCATCATTTGAAAAACTAAAAACACGACTATGAAATTGTCAACTTTGAAAACATGGAAAAGTGCTGTTTGTCATTGAAATTAAAGATAGAATTTAAAGGGATGTGGAATAATAAAAAAAAAAAACTAATCCTCACAAATGAAAAAGAATTGTATCTTTAGAAAGAGAAAAAGATTAAATGTTGTTTACATACTAACTTTATCAAAATAACCTCAAAAATAAATGAGATATCAGCAGTTGAAATGGAAGGAAATTTCACTATTTAGACACGTGTTCGCACTGTAAACTAGGGCAGTTTGGGATACCTAATTTAACTATTTGCAAAAAGGATTTTTCCTTAACATTAGTAGGAAAAGGAAATATAAAAACTACATTTCAGTTTATAGCATGTTTCATTAAGAACTATAAAAAGTTTAATTTCACAAGTGTTTGTATAATTTACTTTCATAAAATTTCCTTAATTATGCAACTTTTATACTAAAATTGTCAGTACTTCAACTCATAAATTGATTTGTCCATTCAACAAAAGAATTTGTAAATATCTTAATATCAAAATTACTTTAAATTTTTTCCCATAGAAT